TAGGCCCTGTGCCAAGCACTGAAGATACAATGAGGCGAAAGACAGTCCCAGCCCCAAGGAGCTCACAATCAAACAAGGGGAGACACAACATACCAACAAGATGTAGACAGGGGAAATCGCAAGCAGTCGACAGAGGGAAAGCCCAAGGATTAAGATGAGTTGGGAAGGGCTTCGGGCACCCCTCGCTCTGAGCCCCTGACAAAAATTATTTCTTACCAACCAGGCAGAGAATCCATTAGTTTCCTTTTCAACTCCACCTGGCTGCCACTCCCCTAGCGGCCTTCAAGTCCCACCTAAAATCCCATCTTCTGCGTGTGTGTGTGTGTGTGTGTGTGTGTGTGTGTGTGTGTGTGTGTGAGAGAGTGAGAGAGAGAGAGAGAGAGAGAGAGATAACTGTATCTGTGCTTGAGGAAAATCCCTTCGATGGCTGAATGGAGGATGGACTGGAGTGGGGAGAGATTCGAGGCAGGCAGACTGCCCAGCAGCCATTGCAATGGTCCAGGTGGGGGGTGATGGAGCCCTGCAGCAAGGGGTGGCAGTGTCAGAGGGCTGGAAGGATGGTGTTGCCCTCAACAATAAGGGGCAGTTTGGAAGTGGGGAAGGCTTGGGGGAAAGATAATGAGTTCAGTTTTGGTCAGGCTGAGGTTAAGAAGTCTACTGGACATCTGGTTCAAGATGTCTAATAGGCATTTGGAGATGAGAGACTGGAGGTCAGCAGAGAGCTCAGCGCTGGACAAGGAGATTTGAGAATCATGGGAATTACAAGGCCTTCGGCAAATGCATCCAAATCACCAACAAAGAGCCGAATGCAGTCATCCTCCTATCCTGAGCCTTGGGGCTGCACAGCCATAAATAGCCTGGGGTGATGAAAACACAGAACTAGACGTCAGAAGACCTAGGTAGAATCCTGGTTCTACCTCTAACTTGGTGACCTTAGACAAGTCACTTCCTTCTGGAGCAGAATCATTCAAGGCTCCTCCTAAACCATCTGGCTCCAAAGTGTTTGTTTACCTCACCTGAAGCAGGGACGTGTAGAAAAGACAGGCCTGGAAAGAGCTGTGAATAAGCTGGGCTCTCTCTGCTCCCTTCAAGAGGAAACCCTGCCACATACCCTGGTCACGAGGGGCTGAGTGCCTTCCCCAGGATCACACAGCTAATAAATATTGGAGGTGGGTAGGATTCGAACCAAGGTCTGACTCCAGTCCAGCCTTTCCTGTGGTACAGTAGATGGAGCTCTGGAAGACCTGAGGTCAAATCCTGTCTCAGACACTTGGTAATTGTGTGACTCTGGGCAAGCTGATTTACCTCTGCCTGCCTCAGTTTCCTCATCTGTAAAATGGGGATCCTAATAGCACCCAGGTTCCAGGGTTTTTGTGAGGATCAAATGAGAGAAAAAGCATTTGTAAAGCTTTACATGAATGCTAGCTGATATTATTACTATTAGAGCCATAATCTCTGACAATGACCGAGCTAGCCATGAAATTTTTATCTAACCTCAAGCACTGAGTTTCCACCAGTCATACAACCTTAATTGTGGCAACCTGGCTTCCAAACCCTTCGCAGAGCCTGTAACTAGGCTCCTATTTTCAACAATTCCTGGGGGCACTTTCTGTCTCTTTCTTACACCCCCCATCCCCCAGCCGCCTTCTTTGCTAAGTCCATAAAGGACAGAAAGGGAACAATGCAGCTCAGGCACTGCGAAGCTCCAGAGTCCCTAACCCTGCTTTATTAGCTGGGGCACACACCAATGATACGCTCATTTCTGGTCCTATAAACCACAAACACGTTTAAGAGATGAGAGTCTTTTCTGTTGGGAGAAAACAAAGAAGGCAAATACCCACAATGACCAATAGCTCTTGCAAACCTGGCTAAACATTCCTGAGCTGTCCCTGCCATCAATCCACCATCGCAGATTTAATAAAGGAGAATTCTAGGACTCAAGCAAGAGAAAAAGCAAAATGCCCGACAGGAATGAAAAAAGGGAGATGAAAGCCGGGGGGGAGTTCTATCGTTCTGAAATACAAATGACTGACTGACCCATTTTCTGACTAGGCAGACAGCTAAACAAACAAACAAATTAGTACAATTCTCCTGTGTCACTAATGGACATCGAGGCGAGGAGAAAGGTTTTGGGGAGCTCCCATCCCTTGGACACCTATGCTTGGAGGGTCCAATCTCTTTCAGACCTCTCCAGAAAACCATGCGAAGGCACCTGCTTTGCTCCAATTTTAGAGTCAATGAAGTCCCTGCATCCTGCAGGCTTAGCCTCAGGACATTAAAACACACACACATAACTCTAGGGGAACAAAAAAATGGCAGTCAGAAGGGTCCCCTAACTTGCCCCAAATCGAAAGAATCAAGTGCCATCGACCAGGCTGATGAGGTTTAACATCTGACTGTCCCGTGGATGGACTGGAAAAAGAAAAAGCAGCTCCCCCTCCCCCATCCCCGCTCGCCGGCCACTTTTCAGATTCCCTTTCCTGTCCCCCTCCTAGTGGAGGGACCCATAAAGACAGGGGACCTGGAAGGGAGGGCCTGGGACAAAGCTTTGCAAAGTGCCCACGGTGACCGACTGCGCTGGCCACGGGCCGTTGCAAAGGTCTCCGAGCCTCTCCCGACCTCCGGAAGAATCAAAGCGGCATGAATGCCAGGTGGGGCCCCAGGCTGAAGTGGGAGCCCTCGATGGCAGGCGGATCCTGGGGAGAGCGGCGGAGGGGAGGAGGGAGGGGGAAGGGGAGGTGGCAGAGGGAGGAGACCGCCCTGAAGAAAAGCTCTTCCACCAGCACCAGCCTCAGCCGAGAGCTTACTCCCCCTGCACCCCACAAAGAAAGGAAAGAAGTCAGCGCCCAACTGCACGTACGAGAAAGCTAAAGAAAGGAAGGGGGGGGGCTGTCGCCACACCCCTGCCCTAAGACGTGCCCCGCCCCAGCCCCCCTCCCCCCTGGGGTGAGATTGTCAAATGCAAGGGCTTGGGACAGGTAGCTAAGATCAGGAGAGGAGGTGACAAATGGAGTAAGGGGGGGGAGGGGGAGGCCGCGCCCACCCTCCACCCCCAGCTCTGCCGTGCCCTGCTCAGCCTGCCGAGTCCCCCGGCACACTCGGAAGTCCAGGATCTCCCTTCAAACTTTGGGAGCCTGGTCCTGGGCGGCAGGCTGCTCTCTAACTACTGCCCCTGGGGACAGAGGAGAAAGAAAGGAAGGAGGGGCCAGCGCCGTGCACCTGAACGGCCCATCTCCCTGCGGAGGGGGGAGCTCAAAGGAGCTGGGGCACCCTCCCTGTCCTCCCAACAGTCTGTCCCGGGCCCCCTGGGAGGCTCTATCTGGTCGTGGAAGCCTTACGGGCGAGCGGAGAAGAGAGGGCATCGTCTCCTCCCTCCCTGCTTAGTGCCCAGCGCCCTCCTCACACTTGGAGGGTCTATTTCGAGGCGAATATGAGCAGGGTTTCACCCCCCCCCCCAACTGGTTCCCATCCCCTGGACCTGGAAGGTCCATCTCGACGAAGAAAATGAGCTCGGTCGACCTGGGCATCGTCCTCCCGGAGTAGCCCCTATCCCATACCTATCACGAAGTAGACGAGCTCCAAGGAGCCTGGCATCACCCCCTCCAGCCAGTCCCCAACCCCCTCCACGGATAATCCCCCCCCGCCCTTCCCCCTCTCCGAAGCTGAGGAGGGGCATCTAAAAGAGCCTGGCACCATCCTCCTCTTGTCCTAACCCCCTGGGGGAGGGGGTGTCCATCTCGATGCAGAAAAAGTGCTCAGAGGAGCTGGGCATCATACACCCCGAACCCCCTCCCCAGCGCACAGTGAAGGGGGGGAGCATCTCGATGCAGAAGATGAGCTCATCGTAGCAGGGCACTCGCTTCCCTTGTCCCTGCACCTGGGAGTGGGGGTGTCCATCTCAAACGTATAAGATGGACTGAACGAACTCTTAGGAGCAGCAGGGCATCCTCCCCGCCTCCCCGCAGCCAGTCCCCCTCCCCCCTGCGGCCCGCTTTCTCCCAACCCCCCCCCCAGTCCATCTCAACGTAAAAGATGAGCTCAGGGAAGCAGGGTATCCATCCCCCTCCCCCTCTGCAGCCTGCTCCCCCTGCACCTGGTGGGGGGGGTTCGTCTCGGCGTAGATGAGCTCATCGGAGCACAGCATCCTTCTCCCCTCCCCTTCCAACCAGTTCTCCCCCCCCCCGGCAGCCCCCTCCCCGAACTTGGGGGGAGGGCTGTTCATCTCAGTCCAGAAGGGCAGACTGTGCATCGTTGTCCCCCCCTCTAGCCTTCGTCCCCGTCCCAATTTCTCCCTCGTTCCCTGCACCTGGGGGGGGGGTCCCTCTCGATGTGGAAGATGAGCTCAGCGGAGCACTGCACCCTCCTCCCCTCCCCTTCCAGCCGGTCCCTCCCTCCAGCAGCCCCCTCCCCGCACCTGGGGGAGGGAGGTCCATCTCGACCTAGAAGATGAGCTGGGCAGAGCAAGACATCATCGTCCTCGTCCCCCCTCCCCGCACCTGAAAGGGGGGGTCCATCTCGATGTCGAAGATGAGCTCAGCGGAGTAGGACATTGTCCCCTCCCCCTCTAGCTGGTCCCCATCCCCCATCCTCCTCCCCTCACCTGAGGGGGGGTCCACCTCGCTGTATTAGATGAGCTCGGCGGAGCAGGTCGTTGTCCTCCCCCCAGCAGCCCCCGTCCCCCTCCCTCCTCCCCTCTGCACCTGGGGGGGGGGGTTCCCATCTCGATTTCTTAGAAGAGCTCGGCGGGGCAGGACGTCGTCCCCTCTTTCCCTCCCGCTATCCCCCTCCCCCTCTAGCCCCCGGTCCCACTCCCTCCCCAGCACCTGGGGGGTCCATCTCGTTG